GCACTCTCACGAGCAACCACAACTCCCTCCGAGTTTACATGTGCATACATGTATGTATGAACAACACCACGATGCGCACTGGCTTCTTCTGCTCCTGCTGCTGCTGCTCCTACTGCTGTGATACTACTGCTGCTACTGCTGCTGTGAATGTTTCGGCTTCTCACTAGCGTACATGTACTCTAAACAGGATACCCTATTAATTGACAGTGCTGATTGACAGTGCTGATTGACAGCGCGAACTTGCATGCTCCTGCTTCTCATTCCTGTTTAACAGTGCCTGCCTTCCATCAACAAACTATTCTTTCTGAAGGAGACCAGTATGGTCGAAACGTGAACTCTGTCGTGATCACTTCTGTCTCTCTATGCTATGGTCAAAGTTGCATTTCTCGTACGCCTGTCTGTCTGTCTGTCTGTCTGTCTGTTTGTTTTATATATTTCCTCAGGTATTGATGATGGATACCAGCGCTGGGGGAATGGGAGGTTGTTTGTACATTGTGTTTGACGGTGATACGGCGGACAACCTTGTTCTTCTGGACAATTCAACATTCCTCAGGTAATCTCTCAGCTGCTAATGTACCAATGGTACTAGCTGCTAATGTACCGATGCTAGTAGCTGCTAATGTACCAATAGTACTAGCTGCTAATGTGCATAGGATAGTAGCTGCTAATGTACCGTAAAGTCCTGTATAAAAGCCACGGCCTATATGACTCTTTTGGGAATTTTCACAGGCTTCTATATAAGACCGGCTTATGTTTGAATTTTGTAGTACTGGTGTTCTGGCTCGTCGAACGGTGTTCTGGCTCGTCGAACGGTGTTCTGGCTTGTCGAACGGTTTTCTGGCTCATCGAACACCGGTATCACCAATATCACTGGCATCACAGCCATTTCAGCACAATCGGGTTTGCTTACACACCTTTCCCTTCTGTTGATATCTGATCTACATGTATGTGACAAGTTCACAGTTCACATGTGTGGTTTATATATGTGACAGTGGCTGTAGTGCTGAGTGCAGCCTCTACTGATCTACTGATCTAGGACAGTAGGAATGAGCGTAGTGGCGCATTTTGAAGCCGCAGATACTGTACACGGGCGTCTTATGTGCGATTTGATGTTTCCGAAATTGCGGCCTCTATTCGAGGGCGGCTTTTATTCAAGTGCAGTTTTTATACAAGACTTTACGGTATGTGCAGTTAGAAGCTGTTAACTTATTCCATTATGTGTTGCATGTTGCCAGTATCGTTGTGCCTTTCCAGGCTTTCATTAGTGGGTGTATTTGAAATATCATTTACATTGATATCAAACAGGCAGGGTGGCTTAGTTTAGTGATGTGTTGGATGTAGAGCAAGAGAATACCGTAAAAGTCTGTAAATAAGTACCTGCCCTAAATAAATACCCCCGGCCCCTTCATCCTTTTGACTCTGTCTGTTGAAGTCAAGTTAAGCCCGATAAACATACTGCCCAAAGTAAGTTCCGGTATGGTTCGCACATGCAGCACGTAGCATGTACATCGACATGAAAAGTGACTTCTCCACTACACCCAAGGCAGGTCCGAAAGTTAGTTGGTGCCCGAAAGTCCGTACCCGCCCGAAAGTTACACACACGTGTAGTAAGTACATACTTGGAAGTACTTATTTACTTGGAAGTACTTATTTACGGACTTTGACGGTAGTGACTATTCACTGAATAAAGCCAAGCACCCGTAGTGTGCAACTCCACCCAGTTTGGCCTAACGCTGACATTTTGTTGACATCACCTTTCCAAGGGTTCATTAGTCATCATCTACCAAGGCAGAATTCATGTCCCGGAAAGCATAGGTTTTTTTACCCGCAAGTTTGACAATCTTCTGGTGTCACGGCTGCATTTTCCTAAAACGGGAAATGCCTGGCCTATTCCAACAGAAGCGAAAAGTTCAATTACCCCCTCCACTGCCTGCCCAAGAGGCCCACACTTCCCCTTGCCTGCCCAAGTGGCCCACACGTAGCGCCCCCCCCCCCCCCCCCCCCCCCGCACTGCCTGCCCAGGTGGCCCACATAAAGTTGTAGCCCCATACTGCTGACCTTGTACAAACTTGTACGTGATGAGTCCAAATGTAGATATTAATGCTGACGTCAAGAAGAAGTCAGCTGTGGTTGAGCGCAATGGCGGATGTGCACGCTCTTGCCTACGCAGTACACACTCATGTTGTTCTCGATCTACTTGGCAGTAAAACTGTTCTTCTGATTTAGTCTAGCTTTGTCTGTTAACTCTTCCAGCTCAGCTGTTTGTGTGTTTGGCTGTGTGTGCGTGTGTACCCATGGTGTGTGTGTGTGTGTGTGTGTGTGTGTCTGTGCGCGCACGTTTGTGTGTGTGTGTGCTTGTATGCATGCATGCATGTGCATGTGTATGCTGTGTATTTGTAGATGCTGGTCCAACGTCCGTGCTGGTGCTATGCACACTGTACACAACGGCAATTCCGCTAATAATTCACTTCTCCTGAGAGATGTTGCATTTGATGGATGTCACTCAGTGGTCGCTGCTGGTGCCTTCAACGTTTTCTTACGCCAGAACATCACGACAGTTTATCCTCCTCTACAGCGACCGATTGATGGACATGTAAGTCTTCACTCTGTTTGCATAATGTACCGTTAAACGCCTAGTACTATGCTGTGCTGTGCTTCACTGCACTGCACTGCACTGCATTGTGCTTCACTGCACTGCACTGCATTGTGCTGCGCTGTACTGCACTGCACTGCACTGCACTGCATTGTGCTGTGAATAGCCATGGGTTCCTACCCTCCAGGTTCTGTCACTGAAGAGGAACGATCTCTCGTCCAAGCATTCCCATTTTGCTTTAGCCACGGCGTGATGCATTATTATGTTGTGGATGCTTGAACTTCAGTTCTGTCCACAGCATAGCTTCAAAGCACAAGACCGTGCTACCTGGATGATGGTGCATGTGATGAGTGTAGTGCCAGGGGTGTTGGAACCGGTGGTGCAGGTGCTGCCACAGCATCCTGTGATTTTTGAAGCAATGAAGTATGGGCTACTAGTAGTATTTGGGCCCACTTTTCCTAAAATTTGCTCGGAAGAGGCCCCCGGACCCCCTGGGTTTTAGAGTCTCACCAATGTGGAATACCTTGCGGCGCCCCTGAGTGTACCATGCATTTACTCCGCAGAAAGAGATCACAGTTGCATGCTCTTGTTGCTTATGGATTTGGACTTTTGATAATAGAGAGGTTCCGTATAACGTAATTACGTTAGTAAAAAACATACTGTACAGGCAGAAAATTTCGTCGGTCAATAATTTCATCCAACTCCAAAGAAAGGGAGTTCGTCCGGTTGAAAACTTCGTCCATGGATCACAAGAGTGTATTGAAAAGCTGGACAAATCGACATCAGTCCGGCATTTAATTTAGTCCAAAAGCTCCGTGGACGAAAAAGACGAAATTAAATTTCAGACGAATATTTCTGCTTACTGTAAAAGCCATATATATATAACGAAGTGCTAACTCTAACGATTTAACGAGGAGAAATCTGTCGTTAAAATAGAAATCGTTATACAGAAATCGATACATATAATGTCCTATTGAGCGTTGAGAATGAGTGAAAATCGTTACCTTTGGTACACGTAAACTAGTCAATTTTGGGAAATCGTTCTATATGCGCCTCGTTAGAATAGTGGCTTTTACAGTACCGGGTATACAGTAGTCGATCTACGGAAAGTCTTACGTTCACTGCATGCGGATCTGTGTTCCGCCATACGGAGTTTTCGAATCACGTAGCTGCCCTTGGCAACTCGGAACGCAGCAGTGTACGACCGGGTCGACCTGGGGAGGGAGTCATAAATTTGTACCCCAATCCACTTACGGAGCACCTGCGTTATCAGAGCCCTATCTACGTATTCTACATAGACAACTTTCCCGCCCATTAACGTAAAGTTGCTCAACTTTACGTTAATGGGCAGAACCTCTCTAATGACAGTAATGTAGTTATTTTGTGACTATTATATAAAACATGAAGAAAGTGTCTGCTCCGAACGTCGGAGCTCGCGCTTCCTGCCGACGGACTTGACACTTGACTGACTCATGACTGCGAGCTCCGACGTTGGGAGCAGACACTTTCTTCACTAATCACCGCCGATGTCGCAACATCTTTCGTTTTATATAAAACATATTGTTGAAAAGAGCGATGAAACAACAGCATCAGCACTGAAATAACACAATTTCTAATGTTGTCACCACTAGGGGTGTGTGTGTGCGCGCGTGCGTGTATTATGTGTGCATGCGCGTGTGTGCATACCGGTGTGTGTGTGTGTGTGTGTGTGTGTGTCCACTCTGATTTAGCCACCCACACTAGTAGCTAGTGTTACCTTCACTGGGGGAGGGGTAACTGCAGTTGGATCCCGGGACGGATACCCTGATGCTGGCAATCCTTTTTCTGCACCTTGTCCTCGCCCACTTACTGTGATGTGGTGAGCCCATGAGTGGGATCATTTCCAAGTCCACCCATAGTTTGGGAATTTCAGGGGGTGTCGGCCGTTGGGCGGTTCAATGGCCAATTGAGTCATCTTTCCAAGATTCCTTTTGAGTCTCTCTCCCTCTCCCAAGGGGAGACCCAAGTGTATCCAGTTATGGCAGTGTGCAAGTACAAGTCTGTATGTGTGTGTGTGTGTGTGTGTGTGTGTGTGTGTGTGTCCGTGTTTATGTCATTGCCGCTTCAGATTCACCTGCTGCGTTGTCAGTTTCTCAACAATCGTGTAGTGCTGGATTCAACCTGCATTCAAATATGGGCATTTTTACCATTTGGAGAGTCTGCTCCCCCAGTGGTCATTGAGGACTGGTACGTCTCCCTATCTGAGTTACAAGACTCGTATGCTTGGTCTGCTGCGTAATGTTTAAAAATGTGCCAGGGATGATACCTGCCCAGTGTTTGTACTGGCTAGTGCTGTGGTCTGCCCAGTGTTTGTACTGGCTAGTGCTGTGGTCTGCCCAGTGTTTATACTGGCTAGTGCTGAGGTCTGCCCAGTGTTTGTACTGGCTAGTGCTGTGGTCTGCCCAGTGTTTATACTGGCTTGTGCTGAGGTGTGCCCAGTGTTTATACTGGCTATTGCTGTGGTCTGCTTGGTGTTTGTACTGGCTAGTGCTGAGGTCTGCCCGGTGTTTGTACTGGCTAGTGCTGTGGTCTGCCCAGTGTTTGTACTGGCTAGTGCTGTGGTCTGCCCAGTGTTTGTACTGGCTAGTGCTGAGGTCTGCCCAGTGTTTATACTGGCTAGTGCTGTGGTCTGCCCAGTGTTTGTACTGGCTAGTGCTGAGGTCTGCCCAGTGTTTGTACTGGCTAGTGCTGAGGTCTGCCCAGTGTTTATACTGGCTAGTGCTGAGGTCTGCCCAGTGTTTATACTGGCTAGTGCTGTGGTCTGCCCGGTGTTTGTACTGGCTAGTGCTGAGGTCTGCCCAGTGTTTGTACTGGCTAGTGCTGTGGTCTGCTTGGTGTTTAGACTGGCTAGTTCATCAGTAGCTGTGTCTGGTAAGGAGACCTATGGAGTGGCGTAGGTTCCTGCTGGATGCATGCAACGATGGACCTTACAAGGCACTGTGGTCTAGACTTGCAAGTTTCGTAGTAGCAAGCGTTCATGTGTCGTACTACATGTACCATTATGTACGAGTAGGTAAAATGTAGAGAGGTTTTGCCACACACCGTATTTCCCCGATTATAAGTCGCATTCGATTATAAGTTGCACCCCATTTTTAGGTTTAGCCCTACTGTTTCAATATATTCATATACGTAGGTTGTCACACTCGATTGTAAGTCGCATCCCCCCCTTCTTTGCCCTTGAAGCTTAGTGCAAAAAGGTGCGACTTACAATCGGGGAAATGCGGTACAGTAAAACCTGTATACCAGACACTTAGTCATGCGCAATCCTGTTTGGACCGGAACAATGTTCATGCACGGACGGGCTGCCATAGTAAACTCCCCGCAACAAGCGGAATACTGTGGAACGCGGAAAGTGGAACGAATTCCGTGCACCAGGGAGAGGGAGAGGGATATAGAGGAAGAGGGAGAGGGATATAGAGGAAGAGGGAGAGGGATATAGAGGAAGAGGGAGAGGGATATAGAGGAAGAGGGAGAGGGATATAGAGGAAGAGGGAGAGGGATATAGAGGAAGAGGGAGAGGGATATAGAGGAAGAGGGAGAGGGATATAGAGGAAGAGGGAGAGGGATATAGAGGGAGAGGGAGAGGGATATAGAGGGAGAGGGAGAGGGATATAGAGGAAGAGGGAGAGGGATATAGAGGGAGAGGGAGAGGGATATAGAGGAAGAGGGAGAGGGATATAGAGGAAGAGGGAGAGGGATATAGAGGAAGAGGGAGAGGGATATAGAGGAAGAGGGAGAGGGATATAGAGGAAGAGGGAGAGGGATATAGAGGAAGAGGGAGAGGGATATAGAGGAAGAGGGAGAGGGATATAGAGAGGGAGAGGGATATAGAGGAAGAGGGAGAGGGATATAGAGGAAGAGGGAGAGGGATATAGAGGAAGAGGGAGAGGGATATAGAGGAAGAGGGAGAGGGATATAGAGGAAGAGGGAGAGGGATATAGAGGAAGAGGGAGAGGGATATAGAGGAAGAGGGAGAGGGATATAGAGGAAGAGGGAGAGGGATATAGAGGAAGAGGGAGAGGGATATAGAGGAAGAGGGAGAGGGATATAGAGGAAGAGGGAGAGGGATATAGAGGAAGAGGGAGAGGGATATAGAGGAAGAGGGAGAGGGATATAGAGGAAGAGGGAGAGGGATATAGAGGAAGAGGGAGAGGGATATAGAGGAAGAGGGAGAGGGATATAGAGGAAGAGGGAGAGGGATATAGAGGAAGAGGGATATAGAGGAAGAGGGAGAGGGATATAGAGGAAGAGGGAGAGGGATATAGAGGAAGAGGGAGAGGGATATAGAGGAAGAGGGAGAGGGATATAGAGGAAGAGGGAGAGGGATATAGAGGAAGAGGGAGAGGGATATAGAGGAAGAGGGAGAGGGATATAGAGGAAGAGGGAGAGGGATATAGAGGAAGAGGGAGAGGGATATAGAGGAAGAGGGAGAGGGATATAGAGGAAGAGGGAGAGGGATATAGAGGAAGAGGGAGAGGGATATAGAGGAAGAGGGAGAGGGATATAGAGGAAGAGGGAGAGGGATATAGAGGAAGAGGGAGAGGGATATAGAGGAAGAGGGAGAGGGATATAGAGGAAGAGGGAGAGGGATATAGAGGAAGAGGGAGAGGGATATAGAGGAAGAGGGAGAGGGATATAGAGGAAGAGGGAGAGGGATATAGAGGAAGAGGGAGAGGGATATAGAGGAAGAGGGAGAGGGATATAGAGGAAGAGGGAGAGGGATATAGAGGAAGAGGGAGAGGGATATAGAGGAAGAGGGAGAGGGATATAGAGGAAGAGGGAGAGGGATATAGAGGAAGAGGGAGAGGGATATAGAGGGAAGAGGGAGAGGGATATAGAGGAAGAGGGAGAGGGATATAGAGGGAGAG